TCCCCCCCCCCTTTTTTTTTTTTTTTTTTTTTTTTTTTTAATAGACAGAGTCTCAGTGCATAACCCTGGCTGGCCTGGAACTCTCTGTATTGGCTAGGCTGGCTGCTGGGACTAAAGGCCCAACTTGATGTATAATGCAATCACAGGGAAAAAATATTTATTTGCCATTGCTCTCTCTCTTCCTTTCCTGTTCAGGATATTTGCACAGCATTGTTAATTACAGCGTTTAGTTCCCTGACCTGGAAGGATACTCTGTCTTGCCAGAGAGCAACCACACAACTCTGCTGGCCTCTCCTCAAACAAGTATGCTTTAGGGGTGGGCTGGTTGGGTGGGGGGATGGACCTAGGGCTACAAGCATGCTAGGCACACACTTTACCACTGGGTTACATTCCCAAGTTTCTTTCCTTTTTGAGACAAGAGTCTGACTAAATTTCCCAAGCTAGCTGTGAACCCCAGGGAGGCCTTGAAGTCTTGCCAACCTGCCTCATCCTTCAAAGTGGCTGAGGGTATAGGCCTAGATCCTATTAGTTACTTTTGTATTGCTGTGACCAAATTCACCTAATACAGACTAACTGGAAGGAGGATTTATTTTGATTCCATTTCAGGGGGATTTCAATCTGTGGTGGGTAGAGCATGGCCAAGTTCACTATGGCAAAAGCATCTTGTAAAGGGAAGCCCAGAGCACAGGCTTTGGCCACGGGCAGGCATAACTATTAGAGGCCTACCCTGTGACCTACTTGTGCCAGTCAAGCCCCAACTTCTAAAGGCTCCACGGTCTTCACAATAGCTAGAAATTGGGTATTCAGAACATAATGGAGGAACTCTATCAGAGTCAGTCATTACTACCCCCTTGTCCTTGCCTCTCCTCTTAGAAAGTTTGTTAGGCTTGTAGACTGAGTCAGTTGAAGAGCTGAGAGGTGGCCCTTGAGGCTCCTGTGGCTCCTGAGCACAGCTGTTTTCCCAGGTGATGTCTGGGACCCTGCTCGCAGATGCTGTCACATGGCTTTTCACCAGTGTGCTGAAAGGTTTACAGATGCATGGGCAGCACGATGGGTGCATGGCTTCCCTGGTCCACTTGGCCTTCCAGATATACGAGACACTGGTAAGTGGAGAGTACATCAGGGCAGGATGGCTGGCAGTCTAGCTGCTTCACTTTACCTACCTCCCAGGATCTTGAGCTGTGACCTAAACCCAAGCACCTGTCATACTGCTTGTACTGCCCCTGAGAGGTGGGTGTGGCATGGAATGGGGAAAGTGACAGGCTATTGAATTTATCTGTCCCCACTTAACCAGCGCCCCAGGTACCTAGAGATAAGAGCAGTAATGGAGCAGATCCCTGAGATACACAAGGAGTCACTGGACCAATTTGACTGCAAGCTTTTAAACCCTTCCCTTCAAAAGGCAGCTGACAAACGCCGGAAGGACCACTTCAAACGTCTCATCTCTGGCTGCATTGGGGTAAGTCATACATCCCTCTTGTGGCTCCCAGCCCCACACAGTTGCTTGCTGTCTTACACTGTTGTGGGTAAATCCAAAACCAAGTAGTTGATGACTGTTCTGATTGTGTGTGTAAGGTGTGTATGTGGGGGGGAGGGGTCCTCTGACACACAGCCTGGACCCACCAACCGTCAATTGTGTCTCTGTTGCTCTCTACAGAAACCCTTGGGAGAACAGTTCCGAAAAGAAGTTCACATTAAGAACCTTCCCACACTTTTCAAAAAACCAAAACCAATGCTGGAGACAGAAGTGTTGGACAGTGATGCCGGTGGACTGGCCACCATCTTTGAACCCTGAATCAAGCTTTTGGGCATCCTTCTTTGGCCTTTGTTGTCATCTCTTCTACCCCCTCATAGCTGATCTCTAGGCCCTTCTTGTACTGCCACCCTACTTTCTACCGTATCAGCCTGGAGATGCTCAGATCCAGGTCAAGCTGGAGAAGAGTGGGCCTTGTGCAGGGCCCAAGTCACTCTACTGAAGTATTGAGAAAAGGGAATTAGGGCTTACACCATTCCATACAGATGTCCTAGGGAGTTGGCATTCAACTTGCAGTTTGGGCTTTTCCAAGAAAAGCTAGAGCACAACGCCCTTTCCCCAAAGAGCTACACCAGGAGAGACAGGATGGGGTGCTGTACCCAACACCGCTGACCAAACTGACAAGGGCTCAGCCAGTTTTTCTTGGACTACAAGGGACCCGCTTGAGCCTCTGGCTTCTGAGCTGACAGGGATCTTTCTATACTCCCAAGGGCATGTTTGGCCTAGGTGCTACATGCTGAACCGTACTTAGCCAGTTCTTATCCTTACATTAAGCAAGAATCTGGTCACTTGGTGGGATCATGGTACAGGCTTTTGTTAAAGTCTGAGCATAATATCCAGGGACAAGAGCAGGGGAGAGTTTAGTTGAACATTGTGTTTCTTAAAATGCACATCTGGGCCTTCTAGGAGTGACCCTCAAGGGTTTCCCCAGCCTCTGGGCCTGTCAGTATCACATGACACCAATCACATCCAGACCAACTAAGCTCATACCTGGCAAGCTAGCAAAGTCACTGTCTAGCCTTCTCGGTCTAGCTGAGTCCAGATGCCTTTGAAAGTTTTTGATGGAAGGGACATGAAGCAAAAGATGTGTGTGTGCGCGCGCTCTGACTGGCCTACTGTGACCTGTGCAAGCCCCAGGCACAGGTAGGTTGGGGAGGGAAGTTTGGGGAATGGGAACTGGTGTGCCAGGTTACTGTCTGCATAAGACCATTTCTCTCTGCGAGGTGCTTGGGGTCTACAGGTTGTGAAGGTGATTTCAGTGTTTCCCTCCAAACTTGATAGCTGCCTACCCCTGTCTGGTTAGGGCTGTGGAGGATGTAGTTGTATTTATTATGTTGTAATATTTCTAACATCCTATGACTTCATGCTAGAAATTTTCTATTGTTTATAGAACCTTTTGTAGAAATGCTAACTCTATAGTACATCTGCATGTCAGTAAAAATCTGCGTTTCTTACAGAAAGGGCCCTATCTTCCCTTTTTCAAACCTGTGATTCCTCCAAGGCTATTCACGAGCACCTTGTTAGGGGGACTAAACAGGAAAACTGGTTGATAAGGCTGACAAGTTATCAGTCAGATGTCTATCCCTGACCACCAAAACCTGGCACCTGGCCAGAAGGAAATGGTTATCTTCTGTGGAGCTGTCAGTGGCAACACGGCTGAAGCTAAAGACAGCCTTTTTCAGTAGAAGCCCAGGAGACAGGTAGTTGTTAACAATACTAGTACAGTCTCTCAAGTCTTGCCCACATCCATTGACCTGGAAACTTTTGTTTTGGTCCTTACCTTTTCTGGGCAGGACCCTTTATTTTTAGACCAAAAAATAAGTCTGAAAAAATTTTTTGCTAGGATATCACTTTATTTACATCAAAGGCCTTACAAAGGCATTAGTCTTAATCTGTGGCACATTTCATAAAATGTATTGACTGAGAATTGCAGAGTGCAGTGGTGAACAGTTGGAATCCAGAAGCTGCCAGGCTATCCTGGAAACATCAGTCCATCTGAACTGCATCTAGTTCATCCAAAAACCGCCGGCACTTCCCCATCAGTATTTTGATAGCTTCACTCACCAACACATCTGGTGGCAACACTCCAGTGGACTCGACAGAAACTAGGGACCAAAGAGACACTTCAGCCTTGGCAGGATTTACCTTTTACTGCAGGCTAGTTCTAAATCCTATCCAAAGAGCACCATACCACCCCTACTCACAGATATAATGGTCCCGAACACGTGCAAGGCGCACAGCCTTCTTCAGCTTCTCATTCCGGAAGATTTCTCTGCTGAAGGTATCCAACCGAGCATTGGCAACCCTGGCCAACTTTTGACCTAAGGAAAATGATGTCATGAGCCCTTTTATTCTCTGCCACCTTCAAAGGTCTTTATCCCCACAGCGCCAGGTGCCATACCTTGTACTTCCTGCACCTCAATTACACCTGGTGAGAAGCACCTGCTCAATTCCTCAGCTGCCTCACCTTCCACAGGTTCAAGCAGAGTGATGTCTGGCAGGAGCCGGTAGCTGGCTGTTGCCACGGGTGAGAACTTGGCATGATCTTTGCCTATGAGAAACTCTGTTATTCTCTTATGCCAGGGAACAACAGAAGCACACTGGCCTTCTGTCTATTGGTAACACCCAAGTTAAGCTCCTTGGCTTATCCTATGCACTTTGCCCCCACCCTGGGCAGACACAGGGTTCTCACCAATGCCCTTGACGCAGTGCATAACCAAGTCAATCTCCTGACCAGGCCGAAGCTGAGCAATAAGGATGTCGTCATGAACTGGGCGAATCGTACCCTCCGGGAAGACATCAGCCTGGTTTCCCAAGGGGACCCATGTCATATGCCTGGTATATACTGGAGAGAAATATGTTTAAAAACTCCCAGACCGTAAAATTAGTGCCTGTGGGCTCTCTTCCTTACCAATGCTCACCTTTGTGGTTCACATAGAGTTCATTGGGATCAGAGGAATCCTTAGCAGCATTGGGGTTCTTGGTACACCTGACCTGTAGCCGAAACTGCAGTGTGTCTATCTCCGTTCCTTCTTCCTCCCCTGTACCAGTGAGGAAGCAGAATTTCCTTTAGTTTTGAGACAGGGTTTCACTAGACCTGGCTGTCCTGGAATTCACTATGCAGAGCAGGCTGCCTTGAGCTCATGAGAGATCAGCTCATCACTGCCTGTGCTGGGAATAAAGATGTACACCATGCCTGGCCCTACCTCTAATTAATAATAGGGGCTGGTATGAAGGCTCACAATAAAGGTGTCAAGCAAACCTGGAGACCCAAGTTCAACCCCTGAAATCCACAGAAATACGTAATCCAAAGCTGTCCTCTGACCTTCACAGCTGTGTGTACTTGTACACAGCACACAAAGTTTTTTAAAGAATTAAAATATATATCTGAGTGCTGGCACTATGCTGCAAGCTTTTACATATAGACAAAATTAATGTAAGGGCAAGTGTTCTCCCAGGTGAAAACCAATGTACAAAATGTTGACTGCCTCGACCAAGGTCTCACAGTGGTGAGCCTGGGATCTGAGCCCACAACCCACTTGAGGACAGTCATCTTCTCAATCTCACCTGGGTTCCTATATTCAAACAGACGTGGATCAGCAAGAATGGGGATGAGCCCCAGGCGGTGAGCAAGGATCTCATCCTGGACAATGGATGTGTTATTATAAACCAGAACCTTTTCCACTGCCATTGTTGGCACCTGTTCAAAAAAGCAGAATCATCCAACTGCAACACCAACTGATCTCCCTACCTGGAAATAAGAGACCCACACGTCTTCTTTTACCTCAGCTAACAGAATTCTCCGGAAAGCATTAGCAATGGCAGCATCAATTCCCACCATGTCGAACTCCAGTGTATTTTCATCCATATGAACAACATCCACACGGAAATTCTAGAGGGATAGAGAAAAAACTGATGGAACACCTGTTTCTCTTGTGTAATTCAAGCCTCCCTCTGTGATTACTCCCACCCTGGCAATGTCCCTCCATGTATGTCCACCCTCTCTCATCCTAAAGCCTTCCTGTGACCAGATGATCACTAGACTTTTGTCTTCAGCCCTGTTCTTGAGTTTTGTAAGAAGCCTGGCTGGTTTTCTTTCTTTTTTAAATTAAAAAATAAGGGGGGGTCTCCCTACCTTGCCCTAGCATTTCTGGAACTATCTATGTAAACCACAATGGCCTCGAACTCACAGGAATACTTACCTATCTTCTATGGACTAGGATCAAAGGTGTACATCACTAAGACCCTAAGCAAAGCCGGGCATTGGTGGTGCACACCTTTAATCCCAGCACTGGGCGCGCGCGCGTGGGGGGGAGGGGGACACAGGCAGATCTCTGTGAGTTCCAGGCCAGCCTTGTCTACAGATGGAGTGCCAGGATAGGCTCCAAAGCTACATCCTGTCTCAACCCCCGCCCTCTCCCCAAAAAAGACCCTAGGCAATATGGCTCCACAAAAACAACCCACAGAAGCTGCTACACTGAAGAGCAGAACGTCCCACACTGCTTAGACAAGTTAGTCCTGCATTTGTTTTTATTTTTCAATCCCTCTTTTTTCAAATTCTACTCCCTTGACTTTTGAACACCAATTTAGTTCTCTTATCTGATATTCTAAATTCTTCCTCTCACCCTGTAAATGTTACTTTCTCCCAGGTTCAAATCTCTTGGCTGACCTCAATCACACTCCTGGCTTAAGCAACTACTCAGCAACTCCCCAAACTTGGGTTCATTTTGATCTCACTTCAGGCATCATTCACTTGACCTACAGACTTCACATACAGGAATTTGAACATATTATCACTCTTTTTCTCCTGTTTATCAACTGACACAATCAGCCATCAAGACACTTCCCTAATGGAGCTGACGAGATGGCTCAGCAGTTAAGAGCATTTGACTGCTCTTACAGAAGAACTGGGTTTGGCCGGGCGTTGGGTGGCGCACGCCTTTAATCCCAGCACTCGGGAGGCAGAGGCAGGAGGATCTCTGTGAGTTCGAGACCAGCCTGGTCTACAAGAGCTACTTCCAGGACAGCCTCCAAAGCCACAGAGAAACCCTGTCTCGAAAAACAGAAGAAAAAAAAAGAAAAAAGAAAAAGAACTGGGTTTGGTTCCCAGCACCCACACTGTGGTTCATAACCATGCATAACTCCAGTTCTGGGGACCTAACTAGACCTCCCTGGGTCACCAGTCACACAAATGCACAAATATACATGCAGGTAAACACATAACCCCCCCCCCAAAAAAAAAACTCCTTAAATTCCCCACATCACAAGGCCCTTTTTCACACACACACACACACACCCCTCACCAAAGCTATATGGTACATAGCTGTTAGTTCTCCTTTTGCTCCATTTCCACTACCAGTGGAATTTATTCATTCCCTCCCAGCTATGAAGGTTACAAAATTAGATCAGTCTACTGAAAAATTCTCTTTAAGCCAGGCGAGGTAGCTCATGCTATTAATCTCAGCGCTCAGGAGGCAGAAAGGCTAGTTTCATGACAGCCAGGGATACCCAGAGAAACCCTGTCTCGAAAAAAAAAAAACAACAGAGCTCTCTATTAACTTGCAGAGCTTAAGATAACACCCCAATCAGGGACGCGAGTTTAAATTTCCAGCACTCAACACTGTAACTGACAACAGGATCCGACACCCTCACATAGATTCGGACAAAACACCAATGTACATAAAATACAAATAAATTTTCAAAGAGAAAAAGATAGACCCCGGTCTTGTCTACCACTCGGGCCAATGTATTGACATCTGGCGATAATGAACTGCTGGAGCAGGCTCTGCGCAAACAAGCGTTTGCAACAATGCTCCAATTAGGCCTGCACGGCCTAACTGTTGGCCAGTCTTCCTTCACTGACCCGAGTCTCCGTCTCTCCGACGGACCGGATTAAGTCACCTACGGGATTCCTCTCCCGCACCCCGGCCGTGCTCGCCGCTCTTGTGTTTCACCGGGATCCCTTGATCACGTGGGCCTTCACCCCACCCGGGCGGCCTGGCCACCCAGCACCCAGCACATGGATGGCTCAGCACACGTTTTTGGAA